GTTCGTTTCTTGGGCAAACAGCACGGTGACCGAGTGGAAGGGGCACTGCAGCACTTGCGTGGCCGAATGGCTAATCGGGTGGCGCTTCAGCGCACGGGATGTGGGGGCACGGTGTTTCCAAAAGTGGAGGAAGCGGAGGACACATGCTGTGGACCGGTTGCGATGCTTTGGGAAGTGCTACGAAGCCTTGGGTGGTCATGGCCCACTTTGAGAACCATTCAAACGGTCGATCAGTTATTTGTGCTGCCTATGCCTCCTGATAGACTTCAGGCTTTTTCAACATGAGTTGCGCCATGCACTGCGATGCAGAGAGTTGCGGGACACCCAACATCCTCAGCGCCGTCATGGATTGCCTGCCCGTAAAGATCTTCGTGGAATTGAGTCACAGCTGCAATGGGACAATAACACCCGTTTGCTGAGAAGGCTTTCGCCACAGGACGCTGGGGTGATGGAAACGATCCTCAGTGGGGGCATCATGACTCGCGAGCGTGCGTCCAAGCATGCCAAGAGGGCGGACTTTCCGCCTTGCTGCATTATGCCAGGCTGTGATGCTCAGGTTGAAACCACAGAGCATCGTCTATGGCACTGTCCAGAGCATGAGCACCTTCGTACAGATGAGTTCAGGAACCTTCGTGAGCGCATGCATCTCTTGCAGCCGTGTGAAATCAATTGTGGCCTGGCGACGACCACCTTTCCACAGGAATGTGATATCACCCGCGTGCAGCAAGTCATGTTGAAAGTTGAGATCCATGCAAGACGTCGCTTGGATGAGCTCAGACACGGTTACCAAGGCGATGATCCGCAGGAGGAGGCAAAGATTTACCAGGTATCCACTGGCGTTAGTGGGGTTCATGGAGCCAGGAGACGCCTTCGTAGACCTGCGGCTGCGGGTGGACACAGGAGAGCGCAGAGGCATGTTCCACAGAATCCGCATCCACCGGACCAGCTCTGTTTTACTTACAACGACCAACGTGTAAGGTGTCAAAGATGTACACGCACAGCATTGAGGTCTCATAGCACAAATTGGGCGGCCTTTTGGGAAGCGGAGTGCCATGATGTTGCAGCAGATGGCCGCAACTTGAGAGGCATCAACGTGGCAGCGGGAAGGGCGGGCCGAGACCAGGCACGGGCCAACCAACTGTTGCTTGATTTTGCTACGGACCATGGTGTTCGGCCTCAAGATTTTTCATGGAATGGCGAGCCACATGCCCCTTTCACATGTTTGAAGTGTCATCTTTCCTGGCCGTTCATGGTTGCGAGAAAGGCACGCCTGGTGCAGACAGGAACATGTCTGCTTCGTCGCTGCAAGGGAAACACGCAGGAGAATGATGAACAGATACGTGCGCTGAGACGCATGCGCCCTCACCAGACACATTCCGTTGCTTTTTCGCCGGATGGTCGCATCGTGGCGTGCAGAAACTGTGGCCTGTATGTTACTGCTGTGCCTCCATCTACAGCGCATCGAATTTTTCGTGAGTGCCGACCGCTGGTTGGTAGACCATGGGAAGGTGTCGCCTTTCAGCCTTGGGACTGGTATCAGCCCCACGCGTGACTGCATTCTGAAGCATGCAAATGATTCTCCGTGAACACTTACTTTCGGTTGATTGAACAGTGCACATGACGCTGTCTGGCAGAACACGGGCTATGCCTTCGTGGTACAGTCCGATAACAAAGTTATATCATAAACCCTACTTGGAGGCCCGTGGGACTTAGTCCTACTTATAACTGGGGTAACTCCTATAAGCCCATTTAGGGAAATTAGAAGCAGGGTTATAAGTCCAGTTATAAGGAGTTGCTAAGTCCCATGGGCCTCCAAGTGAACCCCCGCAGGGGCCCATACGGACCCCAAACGCTCCTTTGCGATGTTTCCCTTCGAATTGCGACTCTGGGCATTTTGAGGAGCCTGAGCGAAACAGCTTTGACACGTACTTGTTCGAGATTCCAGTATGGGCTATTAGAACCCAAAATTCCCTATTGGTACCTAATTAGGGTAAATTAGGGGCCTATAAGGTCTAATAGCCTGTCCTGGCTGTTCGAGATTTGGTAGTTTCCCAAAATAGGGGTACCCCAATATCGACCCAAATATACTATAGCCCTTATTATATGGAACCCCCAAAAGGGTACCCCTGATCTGGGGAAACCCTAAACCCTAAACCCATTTAAAGTTTTTAGCGGCCCCAGAGCTGCGCAATGGTTCCCAGTCTGTTCCATCCCGTTTTCTGCCAAGAAAATGAAGTTGACCAGGGGGCTCAAAAGGTAGGATGAAGGTAGGTGGGGTAAAGGAAATAAGGCCCAATATAGTAGATCTACAATAGGGATCCTTTAGCCCACCTAGCTTTATCCAACCTTTCGAGCCCCCTAAGTTGAGAGATTTAGGTTCAACCTCATTCAAGGTTCAGCGTTAGGGAAGGGGAAGGTTTCAAGAAACAGCCGGGTTGCAGCTTGCTGTGCAATTCTCTTTCGGGTGTGATTTAGTCAAGGCAAGGGTTTCGGCCTCATGCTGTCATGCTTGGTTTTGATGTCCTCAGCCAGAAGCTTGGGCTTTCAGGCCCTATAAACTCCAATGCCAAGGAGTAGCCCTAAACCCTAAACCCTAAACCCTAAAAGTAGGCCACTTTCCTTTTCTGACGCGGGACCTCGCCCTAATCAGTCCTGGGAAGCGTTTCAGCATTTCCTCTTGGAGCACGCAGCCTGAACCCCAGAAGAAAATGGGTTGCTGTTAAGGAGCTTAAATTAAGTTACCTTAATGGGTATATACAGTAAATAATAGGGTTTCCCCAATATAGTAACTTAATCTAAGTTCCTTAACAGCAACCCAGATGATGCCAGCCTTTGTAGGGGTTTTTGGGGTTCCATGACAGTGCCAGTGCCGCGTGAGTCCTGGGCAGTCCTCCAACATGCATAGTGAGTGGCTCCAAAAACTAGGATTCCCTCTTTGCGAGGCATGGTAAAGTATTTGGGGTGCGCGTATGTGGGACCCCCTTTTTGGTGGAAAATGTTAGTGTCCAAAGTGCCTTTCATTGTCTTGACCCCACACACTGCGGAGGCCAGCTTCTTGACCAACAACTCCCGCACAAAAAAGCCTGGGAATCGGGTTTAGAGCATGTAGAGGTTGGCGTAGGCTTTAACTGGACGTAGCTTTGGTGACTTCCAGGGTTGGGGGTGTCGTGTTGTTGGTTCTTTGCCCACCCAGTGCTTGCAGTATGTAGGGTCTTCGAAGTCGGTGCTCCACTCATGATATGGACAAAGCAGCCGCATTGATGTTTTGGGGCATGTGGGGTAGCGGTACTAGCATGGCAATAGGGATCGCTTCTGCGAGCACCCACGCAAAGCTCAAAGTCCCCAAACCCCTTCAGACCTCTTCCCCCCCCCCTCCGCAGCCGTAAACCCAAGCCCTAGTCATGCCACGGTTCAAGCTAGGCAGACAACGAGATGGTACACCGCAGAGTAAAACAAAAATCCCAAGTATACCGTATTGTGCCGTGACATGCTGTCGGCGAGCATGCTGGAGTTGACCGCATGTAAGTTTAATCGTTCATAGGTACTTTGAATACAGTCAAGGGTGCTTGCACGCCACATTCTGTCTAATTAAGCTTCGCCTCTCGACATGACCTCGGTGTGCTACAGTGCCAGATGTTGGCCTGCACTAGTCGGCAGGGGGCCAGCTTGAAGCATCTCTTCATCATCACAGTAGTCAGCAGCTCTGTGGTGCCCTTCGTGTGTATTTGTGGGCGCGGCTTTCCAGAGTTTGCAATTGACGATGTGGGTGGTGGGCAAGTCAAGAATACAAGGCGTGAGCTCTATGAGCAACTTTACCTGTGGCTACACATGGCTCACGACTCCAGAGTGCTCTTCATTGGAGGCAATATCGGAACTGGATGTGTTTTTGCGGACAAGCTGCTCCAGGAGCCTTCAAAGTCAATGTGTGTAGAGCCGATGCCTAATTTAGCGACGACCCTGCGTCAGAACCAGAAAAAACAAAATGCTTCTTTCGTGGTGCTTGACAAACTGCTATCGCGACCTGCGCAAGGCAACGTGTCCCTTGTGTGCCTCGCTGTGTAGTAACACCAGCTATACCTGATTTTTTCTGATTTTCAACCCGGCAATTGGGCTGCAAGCTTATAGTATACTATATACTATACTAGATAGTATAGTAGACTATAGTGGTTTAGGGTTCAGGGTTGCTGTTGCCGAGTGCTCAGATTTTCCGTGTTTGCCATGAAGTACTTAGGTTCAAAGGCTTTGCGTCGCATGCTGCCCTTCCGGGCGAAAATGTAGATTACATAGTGGAGAGTGTGGACCTGGATCTCAGCAGGTTCAACGTCTTGGCAGCTGATTGCGAAGGATGCTTCTGTGAGATTTTCAGATCTTTCAAGGAAGTTGCAGACATGGAGCTTATCTTGTTAGAGGAGGATACCAACCAAGGCTATGTATGTGAAGGAGTTGACGGTCCAGGTGACATATATGTGTTTCTTCGGAAAGCTGGTTTCACGAAAGTGAACGGCGCTGTGCCAGGCTCAGGACATCCGCGTCATTCGGTCTGGTCCAAGAACCCGTCTTCAATGATGTTGCTCCAGTTCCTTGCGTACCACTTTACAGTCGCCTGTTTTGTGAATGGTGGTGCATGGCTGTCACTGGTTTTGCCTGAGGAGTCAGCCTCTAGTATTAACGTCACTCTGTCTATCATCTTTCCCGCGACTTGTGTGATAGTCTATCTCGCCATACTGGGGACCTGCAGGCTTGCATCTCTTGCGCATAAATTGGCACACTCCAAATGAAGGCCACCGTTTGGGTGCAATTGCTGCTGCGTGCTGCGAGACAAGTCTTTGGAGAATAGAAGACTGCAGATGGAAGAGTTTCTCAGTCAGACAGAGGACTTCTCATCAATGTTTGGAAAATCTGCGAGATTCTCTTCTGCAGCCCAAACCTTGTGAGTTTCACTTGCATGCCTCCAGCATGTGCTTCATCATGCCTGTTGCATTTAGATGAGGATGTTTTGTCCAAGCGGCTTCTCAGGGCTTTCAGTGGCAAAAGTGTTCTGCGCGAAGTTCGCTGCTATCCTTGTGAAGGAGGCTGAGTTTGGCTGTTTTGCGAAGTGTTCTACTGGTGTCTTGGTGAGCGGTTTAGGGTTTAGGGTCCTTCTGGTTGCTGAAGTGGACCCCATACCCAGACCCCCTAGAGGATCCAAAAAATGGAACCCCCTAATAATCCCCTAGTTTCCCCAATGTAGTAATGGGTTCATATTGGGGGGGTTCCATTTTTTGGATCCTTTAGGGGGTCTGGGTATTTGAGCCCCCAGTGTTCTCTGGGACGAACCTTTGCGCTAGATCAAGCTAGCAACCGTGTAAGGAGCAGACCTTATACCAGGCTGAGACTATTGGGATCGTGCCAGTACCGATTTGAACGTGGCTAGACCTGGGGGGCTTCCCAAAATTAGGGGTACCATTTTGGGGGTCCCAAAAACAAGGACTATAGTATTTTGGGGTCCATATTAGGGTTCCCTTATTTAGGGAAATTACCACCTACCACTATTTGCAAAGTGTGATGTCTCACGATGCAGTTCGCTAGACAGCAGCATCTGTTACTGCGGTATAGCTAGAAGCCAAAAGTGTCACCAATATGATTCCCTTTGACCCGTACATACTTCACGTACCATAACTAAACCCCAACACAATTTCCGAATAACCCTCAAACCCGAATCCTAAACCCTATATAACCCGATATAACAGCTATCCCCATATATCCCCACTATATCCGCTATATAACCCCTATATCAATCCTGCGCTTAAGCACTGACAACTGATCGGAAAGCCTCCCCCCGTGGCACCCTGTAGCGAGAAAGCCCAGACCTCCTGAGGAGTCCAAACTGTAGAGCACCCACAAAAAACAATCTTCAGCACTTTTCTCATGAACATGAGGGATGAACAGTTCAAGGATGTTCAAGGGCCCCTTTTTTTGAATATGTTGTAGTTTCTTCTTTCCAACAAATCCCCATGAAAGGAGGGCCGATTCTTGGCGCCGAGGCTTGCGTGTGGTGGATTCAGAGGGCGAAATTTACTTCGAAGCGGGGTAGGTAGCCTTTATCTATGTGGGGGTTTCCAAAAATAAGGGTGCCTACCTCTTTGGTTCAGGGTTTAGGGGTTCCCATATTAACCAAAATTATAGAGTTTGGGGTCTATATTGAGGTGCCCATTTGTGGAAACTACCATTCAGTCCCAGTAAATCAGAAAGACTCACCTGTTTGAGGGCAGGAAAAAGCATCCGCTAGGTTTACGAGTTTCTGGTTTTAGGGTGGTTTAGTAATGGCAGTTACCATGAGTTGCGGTCCCGTTTATATACCGCAAGTGCTATAACCCCTATTATGACGAAACCTCAAAAGTGGGGGCCCCGCAGCGATCCCTAACTAATCCCTAAGGAGGCACTTCCTTGTCGCAATGCATTTGACAAGTTTTCAAGGGTTTGGGGCTTAGGCCTTTTTCAGGCCATTCCCTTTTCAGAAAGCATTGGAGCCAAGGCACAGCATCCAGATTTGAGGTGAGCCGCATGTCCCAAGGTACACCCTAAACCACAAACTCTGAGCCCCAAATTCCCTCAACCCTAAACCTTAAACCTTAGACTCCATCGGAGCATCATGCGCTCTTTCCAGGTATCAAGAGCCTTTCGCCAGGGGGTCCAATATACCGTGGTTTAGGGTTTGGGGTTTAGGGTTCAGGGTTTGGGGTTCAGGGTTTAGGGTTTGGGGATTTTGGGTAGGGTGGCCAAGATCCTTTCAATCCAGTCAGATCAGAGATCCCGTGACCATGTAAGGCCCAAATTCCCAAAACTCGATTGCCTGGCCATCATCCGCAGGACATAGCCTATCAACCATAAACCTTGAACTCCCGACCCTAGGATGGTTGCATTCACCTTCCCCACATGAGTAGTATTTTATTTGGGGATATTATGGTACCCAATATAGAGTAAGATTATATCCTCCTTTTGGGGTATAGTATTGTATATAAGGAATACTATCTTACTAGGTTCAACCACCAAAAAGCGCTACTCACATCCCACCTAAGCTCCCCGCTCACTCAGGACTCACTTTGCCATGCTTTTGTCAAGGGTTGTGCAGGTCTCCATTTCCTCTTAGATTGTTTTGGGGTGGGCATAATATAGAGGCCTAAATAATTACCAATATTATGGTTCCATATTCCCTAATTAGTCATGGTCTATGGTACCTCAAATGGCCCTCAAAATGATCTTGGTAATTATTTAGGCCCCTTTTAGTGTTCCGGCTTGAGAATTTACGGTGCCAGAAACCCAAATGCTGAAACCCCTAAACCCTAAACCCTACACCCTAAACCCTACTGGACCATGGCTTCTGGGCTTGGGGTTCTAAGCAACTGCCATCAGAATCCCTGAGTTCTAGGAGCTCCCAAGTCATGTCACAACCCTCTCAACCTGAAACCCCGACACCCCAATATGCCTGACCCTAACACCCTGAAAGGTTTAGGGTTTAGGGTGTAGGGTTTAGGTTCTAAACCCCTAAACCCTAAACCCTAAATCCTACATCCTAAACCCTAAACCCTAAGCCTTGAAGCTGTAAACATGCCAACCCGAAGCCTTCAAAGGACTCGAGGCCTTCACCCCCCGGTTCTTGAACACCTTATAGCCTCCCTTAAGTAGATAGAATATGGGTTCAAGGGTAAGTAAGATTTGGGTTATATGGGGGTTATATAGGGGTTAATTGCGATAATGGAAAAGAAAATGGAAACTACTATTTTAGGGTTTAAGGTTTATAGTCTCCCTTAGGTAGATAGAATATGGGGTATATGGGGATCTTATTATAATATACCCAAAGCCATATTCTATCTACTTAAGGGGGACTATAAATCTCCAACCTCAAATGAACCATAGTCTGAACTCCTTAAAGGGGGGTACATAATGGGATTATATCAGGGACTACCTTAGGGGTTAGTAAGCGGGATACTAGGAGTTTAGACTACAGCCCAAATTTCGCAGAAAGCCCGAGATCCGTCAAGTACAGTAATAAATCTACCCAACATGATATCAGGTCTCTTCTGATTTAAGGATTTACTTTGTAAGCCTTCATGATTCAAAAGGTCTGCAGCCACCTCGCCCAATAGTCCTTCACAAGCCCTGTGGAGGAGCGCCATCGGCGGATAGACTGGAGATCAGTTCCAGACATTCGGGAGGTCGGCGCCCACCGACGAGGCAAGCAGGGGTGCTTACTTGGGGGTCTCCCAACTGCAAGTTTTTTCAGAATAAGGTACCCCAGAGGATCGCTGGCTTGAAAAATCGTGCTTTTTTGCTTCATGTAATGGGCGATGTCCAGCGCGTTGTTTTGAGTTGAGTGTCTGCTTCTTGTCCGCATCCCTCTCATTCACGCTGCAGTCTGCAGTGAGCGCAGTCTGCAGACTTTGGGATGTAAAGGTATCACATGCTCAAGTACGGGAGGTCCAGATTCAACATTCGCTAGAGCCAGTATGGGCTATTAGACCCTAAAATTCCCTATCGGTAGCTTGGCAAGGGTAGATTAGGGGCCCTTTAAGGTCTAATAGCCTATCCTGGAGTACCCTAAACCTGAATGCGATCCCGTGAGCTCCCTGCACAGGCTTGCATTCCGTTCATTAAACGCTACCTGCAGGCCCAGTTACCTACTGTTGTAGGTCTAACCCATAAAGCTGTAGGTTATTGGGGTTACAGGTAGACCCTACCTAAACCCCAAAAGCATGTAAAATAATAGCCCTAAACCCCTAAATATAGCCCAAAAGGCCATTATTCTACATACTTTTAGGGTTCAGGTAACCCCTATCTTTTGAGCCTGGTAAAAGCTGGACAGCGCTGCACCAGCCATCCTCCAGCCTCATCCTAATTAGGCCAAGAGCTGTTGCACACATGGAAAGCGGTTTAGGGTTTAGGGTTTAGGGTTAAGTTATGTAGTAGTTGGGACCCCCAAAGTGGTACCCCTAATTTTGGGAACCCCATGTAGCATAGGGGTATCGGTGCCATCGCCCGGGCCCAGGTGGTTTCGCAGATCCTGCCCGAAATGCCGGCAGGGGCCATCCGAGACCGGGAGGCAGGGGCAGAGGAAAAGGCTTCAGAAAGTTCGGGGTTTCTCAAAATCACTGGTACCTTGTTGGAGTTCATACAATAAAGCTTGTAGTATTTTCAGGCTTGTGTTGGATCCAGCGGTTGCAGTGAAACGAAACCACTACGAGGACTCCATGAAAGCGGGCTCCAGGCTCGGAGCCCTTTGAGGACCTTTAGGGTTTAGGGTTTAGGGATCCCCCCCCAAGAATGCAACCCATGAGGATGATGTGGTTGAATAAAGCCCACCCAGAGACACTCGGGGTTATAGTCCCGCTTAAGTAGATAGAATACGCGGCAGATGGGGATCTGATCATAAAATACCCGAAGCCATATTCTATCTACTTAAGGGGAACTGTACGGTTTAGGGCCGAATTTACCCAAAGCCATATTCTATCTACTTAAGGGGAACTGTACGGTTTAGGGCCGAATATACCCAAAGCCATATTCTATCTACTTAAGGGGGACTATACGGTTTAGGGCCTAGGGTCTAGCGACTTTCTGCCCATTCCCGCTCTGACTTGAACAGCCTATTGACTACCTTGAGCCCAAAAACCTAAACCTAAACTCCCAGAACCATTTGAGCTATAGTCTAAACTCCTTAAATGGTGGTTATATAGGGGATTATATAGGGACTACTATAGGGCTTATTAGGGGGGATACTAGGAGTTTAGACTATGCTCATTTA